TTTTTTAAAGCAATCAATCAAAGAAGCAAAAATACCACTACCAACAAGAGGCATATATGGAACACAATGGATGTGTCAATTAACTCGTGGGAATCCCTTCACAATATATATGTATAACCACCATTTTGTATATTTTAAATATATTACAATTTGATTTGTCAGTTATATCCAATAAGTTTAAAAAAATGGACAATGAACGGGAAAAAAAACAACCTGTATTTCTAGTACCTAGAACAGTCCATGGTACATAGAAGGTGCTCAATAAACTTATGTAAGTGAAAAAGAATATATATATATATATACACATACATATATATATATAATTAGGCTGATTACTCACTTCTGGGTTTCTCAGTTTCCCTTTCTTAGGCATGAAACCAAAGGGAATTCTGGAACACCTTTTTATTTTTCTTTAAAATAGAAGCCCGTAAACTGTAACTTTGCCAAAAAAGAGTAATAAATCAAATACAATCACTTTATTACTCCTGAGGTTTCAGCCAGGAACTCATTCACATCAACTTTCTTCTCTGACTGTTCTAAGTATTTCTCAACCCATCTCCCATATCGTATTTTTTCCCCTATACTGTCATGTATAGAATTTGATGTCCAAAAATTTTCCCAAATTACAAGACTTCTAAAAAAAAATCAAATCCTGACTTGCTGCAAGATGGTAGTGCGCCATGACACTTTAATATACAGAAGCTATAATTACAAGTATCTATCTTCAACCCTCAAAGGTTATTATCTATTAGCAGCATGCTACTATATATCACATTCTAACTACATAAAATATTTATATAAAAACATTGTATGGAGTTACAACTTACTTCAGGGGATCTTCTTGATCACTGTCTATGCTATCAGCTTCACTGTCAGGGTCCCCTCGCCATGTCTGATCCACAGTAATGGGTTCCTGCTCCCCATCACTCCAGCTCTCTTCATCTGAGGCAAGGAAGGGAGAGCAGCCATTAAGATTTTCCACCTCTGTAACTCCACCACACAAAAGTAGATTACTTAACATATCAACCCAAGCCTTAAAATTCAAAAAAACTTAGTCAAAAGGTACTGGCAAATAACATTGGCTTAAAAAAAATACAACCCAGGTAAGATTACTTATGAGTTAACCATAGTCTAAAAAGTTCAACTCAAAATTATCCTTGTTTCCTGAAATTACATTACATAACAAAGATTTATAAGCATAAAAACAGCAATGAATGAAATGGTCATAAACGCAGGAAAGTAAACCTAAGCGAATACTACTTCAAACTGAAAAGAACTGGTGAACAACAAAGCAATCCTGGAATTCTCACTAAGTTGCCAATGAATTAACAAAAATATAGTATTATCAAGTACCATATATGTTCAAGGCACTGTGCTAAAGCCAAAGTTTTTTCTTAACTTTCTTCCTCCTAAGATCCTTACCCAGAATTCGGCTGGCTTCACTGCGGCTACTTTCTGTAGTCTGGGATCCCAGCTCTGTCTTAGCATATGAGCTCAGCTGGCACAAGAGTGTTTCACCCATAGGCCCTGGACTGGTCTTCTTCATTTGAGCATGAAGTGCCAGAGCATTCCTACGGGCATGTTCAGCACAGAAGGACACCCTAAAGAGACAAAATACTAACATTTAATGCTCAGATTTTTCCTTAAAAGAGTTCAATGACTTTCACAATCACCAACCTTTAAATCACAAATTAAAATGACTATTACCTTCATTTATAAATTTAAAAGGCTAGTGAGGCAGAGTAATTTAACAGGAGTATGGGCAACTCGTTTGGCATTACTGAAGGGAAATCCAAGTAGCATAATCTAGTGCTCTATCCATCAAACAAAACATTCCAACTATAAAAATGATGATATCATCTTAACAATACATCAAAAAGATCCACTTTCATCTTTCAAAATTAGTTCTGGAAGGCAACTCTACATTTTAGATACATAACATAAGTAATGTAGAAATTAAAATTGTGAATGACAGTTTTAAATCTGAAAGATACATGCAGAATTATCTAGCCAAGGTATGTTTCTGCACACTTTGGCTTGTAAGATAAAAGCTATATAAAGCCTTTCCCAGAAAAATACACATATATACAATTTTGCATATTAACAAAATTTCAGGGATGGCAAAAAGAACTATGGACCCCAGAGATTAAGAATAATCTAGAATATCCCTTTATTTTACAGATAAGGGAAAAAGCTCCAAAGAGATTAACTGAGTGGCCCAACTGGAAATGTCTCCTCCTGGTTTCCACCATTTTTAATGTTTAAGGATAAAGCCGTAAATCCAATTTCACAAGCAGATTCCCAAAAACCGCAGCAACTACGCCCAAGCCCACGTCATACCAATTACCCCGTCGCTCTCCAAGCACAAACAACAGATATCTGTACGTATATACCCATCTTTCTTCTCAGGCTTCGGGGCAGCACTGGGACATCTTTTGCCATTCTTCGTCGATACATAACTACACTGCTTGAAGGGGGCATTTTTGTCCTCAAGGATATGCTTAATGCAAAACTCTTGCCCCTCCAGACGAGGTTGGGAGCATGGGCGATGAGTGAATGAACAAGACAGAGGCTCCTGAGACCTGGGCACTGGGGTGATTCTCCCCCGATTGGTCGGCAAGACGTGAATCCGAATCCTGTTCATACCAAAACCTGCAGGGTCACACGAAAGATTAAAAGCCTTACCTTACCTGAAAATTCCAGCTCCACAGTATTCGGGCGGACGGCGGGTATTTCCTAAAAGACACGCTCCCCTCCGCCAGGGTCTCCCCAGGCCTCAGGGGATCTGCCTCACCTCCATGCCCACCACCACCTCGCCACCACGTTGAATGTATCTCAAGCCACCGCACGGCGGCGGCACGAGGGGGAAGCGCCAGCGCCGGTCCCACGCGGCCGCAGCCACGCCGCCGTCCGCGCCCCGCCTCCGCCTTCCCACACGCCGCCTTTGTCCCGGCCCGCCTCAGAGCCCACAGCTGGGCCCTGCTCGGCCTCCGCGGCCCGTGCACGCGCCATTTTGTCCTCAGGCTAAGAGCACTGGAGACTAGCTCCTGAGAGCCTATAGAAGGAAAGCGTCCCCCAAGCTGATTGAGGCACAAGAGCAGCTCTGAGCGAGAATGCGGGACGAAGCAGCAGCATAAATTCAAATGCGAAGAGCAGGTACTGCCTCCAACTTACCTCACCCACCGCGCGACTCACCCTCCAGCCGCGCCACCAGCTTCTAACTCGGCCCCGCTCCTTTCCGGGCTCCCAACTGCTGATTGGCTACTGCGCCTATGGCGATGTGTCACCATTGGCCGAGGCCAGCTACCTATCATGCCTGGGAGGGCGGGGCGCTGAGAAGATGAGCGGCTTGGGTGGCTGAGACGACCTGTCAGTCAGTCAGCAACTCCGCCCCGGAGAGTGAGAAGGCGGGAACTCTGGTTTCCAGACCCGCTTTGCCGGGTGTAGTTGTTTTTCCACCTCGCAGCGTGAAGGGTTTTCATGGTGCTTTAGGCCGCTCTGTCTGTGGTCATAGGCTGCTACTACCTCACCAGCCCTACACGAGGGTAAAAAATCAGACATAGAGGACAAAGGATCACTGTACATTTGATTCTTACTGTTTAATACAGGAAAAGGCTTTAGTTTTCTTTTGCGAGCAGTTCATTTGTTGAAACATTTTTTGAGTATTCACTTAGTCTGAGAAATTACAAACATTTAATTTTCAGAGCAACCCCAAGAGGTAGAGGCTATTATCTATCTTCATTATACGCACAAAATAACTGACGACCAGAATGGGCGCGTGTCTAGTATGGAGGAAGACCCAGCGCTCATCCTTTATCCCTTACTGCTTCTCATATAGTAAAGAACATTGGACTGAGAATAAGGAAATGGGAGTTCTGGCTTAGGTCCTGATTCTCCAAAATTCCATGCTAAATAATGCAGGTATATAGAAATGGCAGGCACAATCCCAATTTTATCATCCTTTAAGTAATTTTTTTTTTTTTTGGAGAGGGCATCTCTCATATTTATTGATCAAATGGTTGTTAACAACAATAAAATTCTGTATAGGGGACTCAATGCACAATCATTAAGCAACCCCAAGCCTAATTCTCAACAGTCTCCAATCTTCTGAAGCATAACGAACAAGTTCTTACATGGTGAACATATTCTTACATAGTGCATAAGTTTTTACATGGTGAACAGTGCAAGGGCAGTCATCACAGAAACTTTCGGTTTTGATCACGCATTATGAACTATAAACAATCAGGTCAAATGTGAATATTCGTTTGATTTTTATACTTGATTTATATGTAAATCCCACATTTCTCCCTTATTATTATTATTATTTTTTTTTTAATAAAATACTGAAGTGGTAGGTAGATGCAAGATAAAGGTAGAAAACATAGTTTAGTGCTGGAAGAGGGCAAATGTAGATGATCAGGTGTGTGCCTCTAGACTAAGTATTAATCCAAGCTAGACAAGGGCAACAAAACATCCACGGATGCAGAAGATTTCTCTCAAAACAGGGGGGGTGAGGTTCTAAGCCTCACCTCTGTTGATCCCCAATTTCTCACCTGATGGCCCCCCTGCGACTGTGCCTGTCTTAGGTTGTTCCTCCCTTGAGGAATCTTACCCATCTCTGGCTAACCAGTCATCTTCCGGGGCCATACAGGGAAATGTAAAGTTGGAAAGTGAGAGAGAAGCAATATTGTTTGAAAAGGTTAGCTTTTTACTTCTTTGCAGATTTATGCCCTGTGGCTTCTATGCCCTACATTTGTCTTGAGGTATCTTTACCACTTGGAAAAATTATGATACTCGCCTTTAAGTAATTTTTAATTAAAAGTTTCTCTCTTCTTTCATCTCCTTCACTCCTAGAAATGAACCAACACTTTCTCCCCATGACACTTCTGGATGTTTTTTGCATCCCAACCTTCCCAAGCTCCCTTACCTGCTGTTATTATCTTTCTCCACTACTAGTGAGTAGGTAAGCATGATTCACAGCAGAAGCAAGCATAGACTCTACAGTGCTCAAGAACAGTAGTCAGTTTAGGCACAAGAAAGGATTAAAACAAAAATGGGGGTTTGGGTGGGCAGGAGAGGTGCCTTTCCAATGATTAGTGCAGCCCTGGAAGGCCTTTCCTGAAATTCATTCATTAAGCAAATATTTATTGAACACGTAAATCCCAGGCACTGGGAATATCTGAGAACAAGAGAGATAACCCTCTCTTTTGGAGTAAACATTCTGAAGCAGTTTGGGATTATGGATGCAATACAAACATAATATCAATAGCAACTATGATTTATATGCATAAGCAAACACTCCAACCTTAAGCAGGGGCACAAAGAAAACATTTATTATAAACACCCTATCAAACTTTAAATTCGAACTCAAAATATGGGAATTAGACATTCAACCAAGTGTAGTAATACCAAAAAGGAACATTAAAAGTATAGCTTTATTATTTATTAATAATTCAATTTATTAACTTGATAAAATTACTTAATATTAAAATTACAGTGAACAATAGAGAGGCATTAAGGACTAGATAGGAATGCAACAAAGACTTTCTTCCACTAGAGGGTCTAACTGAAGGTCTTGGTTGAAAAAAAAATCCTCCTGCTAAGCCCAAGATTAAAAAATGACTATTTAGAGCCACCTCCTTCTAAATGGGGAAGGGGCAGATATTATTAAAGGGTCAAGATTTTGCCAAATTCTTTGTGCTATTTAACAGAGTAGTTACCTGTTTTTAACCCACCGAATATTTTGCTAACTATTAATAGGTTGAAGTAGACCTGAGGCTGTACTGAGGTTGGAAAGATGAATTCTTGAAAGAGAATTTTTGAGAATTTGGAGTTTTGGGGGCTATTCTAGAGAAAAGGGGGAGTGATGAGAAAGAGAATGAATGAATGTCAAATTCCTGCTCTTCTAGCAGTTATCCTCATCTCAGGATGACAACTCCATCTTTCCAGTGAGGCCAAATACCAGGAATCATCCTTGCCTTCTCTTCCAACCTTCCAACCTACTGGCTCCAACTTCAAGATACATAACTCTCATTTTTAGCACTTCCAACCTAATCCAAGCTACTCTCCTCTTTCACCTTAATCACTGTGAAAGCCTCCTTACCTCCTTACCCTTGACCCCTACAATCCATTTTCAATACACAGCCCAAATGAACACTGAAACTTAAGCTACATCACATCTCAAATTTTTCAGTGGTGCCCGATTTCACTATCTTTACAGTGGTTTAAAAGGTCTTACAGTATCTAGCCTTCCATTGCCTCTCTAACCCCATTTACTACTCTCCCCTCTTCATCTCCGTACTAGCTACACTGACCGCCTCGCTGTTTCTCAAACATGCCAGCATGTTCTCACCCTAGAACCTATCCAGTTGTTTCCTGCAATGATCTTACCCCAACTCTTCCCATAGCCTACTCTCTCAAACCTTTCAGGTCTTCGCTGAATTATAACTTCATGAGGTCTTCCTCCCTAGCCATCTTATTTCCAATTTCAAAATCTCTGCTTACCTACACACACACACATACACACACTCCCTAGCCTTCCTTCCCTGCAAAGTACTTATTTCTTCAAAGTACTTATTGAATATATTGTTTTGTTTCCCCTGCAACTAGAATATAAGTTCCACAAGGGCAGGATGCTTGTTCTGTCTATTGCCATATTCTCATCAGTACTCTTTAGTATGTAATACTTGGAAGGTACAATTTTCTGGTGAAGGAATAAATGAAAGGCAGGGAAGTTCCTGAAACTGCTTTTTAGAAAAGGAGTATCTAGCATTCAATTTTGTCTTATTTTCTTTCATCACTCTGGTTTTTTGGAATCTGATGGTCCTGAGTGTTATGTGAAATAAGAGGTTGGATTCCACAATGCAAAAAAGGTAGCACATGTGCACACACAGAGGTAGCACATGTGTGACAATCTGTAAGACAAATTAATTCAGAAGTAGGCCCCAGAGCTAGAGATTACAGTAAATACAAGCCTCTAAGGAAATCCAAGTAAGTCATAGGAGGAGCTTCAAACTTACTAGAGAACATTGAATGGTAAAGATCAAGCCAATCTTACTGGCTGTCAGAGCATCAGGGAGCACAATGACATAGGTATTGATCATAAGTTGAAGCCTGGCTCTTTATCAGTTTAACAAACCCTTTAACTGGGGATCCAGTTGTACACAACCCTTACACTGATTTATACCTCATCTATTCCCAAAGATGACACAATTGATATTAACTCTTAACAAAGGCAAATCACTAAATTTCATTATTTTGTAGTATCGTCCATTTCCACATTCATTTACTGCTTTTCTTTCCCATTCAAACTAAACTAGAATTCCTAAAATGTCAGCAACTTACACAAATTTCAAGAGAGGTACAGCAAAAATCTTAAATTATCTTATTTTAGAAAATGGAAGGAATGAACAGAATTCATCTTTTTTCACAGGTATGTATCATTCTGTTAAATTAATCTTTTTTTCCCTTTGGAGCTTTTTAACTGTAGCTACTACTAACTTTGTGTTAGTTTTGGAGTATTTTAGCATAAAAATTCTTTTCCTTTCAATGTGTAATTTAAAAGATTTGCCTTGTGTGTATGGTTTTATATCCCAGAAAAAGGCTGAGTACTCACTATGAATTTTTCCAGGCACCACCAAGAATGCGATTTTCTTCTTCCAAACGTGCTGCTTTATCTATACCAACATTTCAGATTTTTCGCAGAGCCAAGGATAAAATTATGAATCATGTTAATGGTGCTTGTTAGATAAGCAGTATGTGTTGTTATCATCTACTAGGGCTGTATTTTGTGTATCCCAGTTACTCTTTCAGGAATCCATGTAACAATATAGAATGAGGGTTTTTTCCCCCTCTGAAAAACCCATCACCTCTATACTGTCTATAGTATACACTATAAATACTATGTTTCCCATCATTCTCTATACTAATCAGGTTCACAGTGATAAAATCTCAGGTCTTTCCAATCAACTCAATTTCCCCAGGTTCTTGTACAATAACAAGTACATACTGCTACCAAAACTAAAACAAAAATAATGATATCAATAAAACGACAGTTAAAGACTAATATGAAGACTCAGTACACAGATGAGTGTTTTATATCATTAACATTTATTGATGGGATGGATACAGATTGAGAAACATACTTGACAGCAAGATATCAAACTGATAGCCAGACTATAAAATGTATACAGCATCCATTTTTAAATTTAAAAAAATTTTTTTTGAAATTTTTACAAAGAGCCCTTACTGTAATGGTCCCTTACATCCTACCACTCACTGAACAGCAGTAGAGATCCCAGGGGTAGCATCCAGAACTGAGATGCCCCAAGGAGGATAGAGGCAACAGCAGAATAAAATGCTGACAAAGAGCTCTTAAGAGCAATACAAAGAAAGCAGGCAAAAATATTACCACAAAATTGTACCTGAGTGACATAGATTGGTAAGGTGTTTTACTAGTTTTTTCTTCTTCTTCTTCTTTGCTCTTTGGTCTAATAAGAAAAGAGTTTTAGGTGTGTGGAGTAGGATGAAGGAAAAGTCAGTTTCAAACCCAGAATCACAGGTTAACACTAAGTTAGGCTACTGCATCCTTTTCCCTGGGTGTTTAACCCAGCCAGCACTTATATCTTATAACCAATTCCAGTGTGATCAACCACTAATCAGTTTGGTTCTCAGCTTTTGGCTGAAGAGTTTCTGATGACCTGATGGAGACATACTTTCTCTGGCTTCAATTAGCATGCTGTCAAGCATCCCTCTCCATGTTTAACATGGCAACAGAAAACTCAAGAGTCTTTCTCTCCTTTTCATTCAACCATGAATACAAACTCACATAAAGGGGAAGTAGACACAGATTTTTGGTAAACATTCAGTTTCTTTCCCTCCCTTTTCCAATGCCAAGTTCATATTAAAAACTTCAGAAACATTAAAATGGAAGGACCTCCCATTTAAAAAATAATTCTCTTTCCAGACCACTCCATTTGATTGGATTACAATACCATACTTGTTTTAAATTCACATCTACAGAAGAAGAAAAAGACAAAATAAAACCTGACAGTGTGATACAACATGAACGTTTCTTAAACCATCAGGAGCAAACACTCAGTTGGGTTGTTAACAAGCAGCAACACAAGAAATCTGGAGAGGTATCAAAGATACTGAAACCTTAGTGGGGCTGTGGAGGGCTTATTTCTCACCATGTGAAGGGTTGCATAGACTGCTTTAATTCTCCCAAACCCAAGACAATAATATTTGTATCCCAACTTCCAAGATGTTCTAGAATCTCCCTTTTCCTAGCATTTATTAGAAAATAATTCATCAGCAAATAATCCTTTTCAAAAATTAATCAGATCCAAGCCCCACTGTTCCTGTGTTTCTGTGGAAAACACAGTATGTTGAAAACCCAATCATACCAGGATAAGACTCCTCTAATTGCCTTTGTCCAGATGCAAAGTATGAAGGGTATGCATTTTCAATACAGGGAATTAGGCAGCAGAGGTTTAAGGACATTCAGCACTGATGTTACCATGATTTATTTCTATATCCTGATCCATTGCTGCTTCCAACTGGAGATTTAAATTTTCTCTATCAACACTGGTGAAGCCAATAACACAGAACTATGAAAAAGGATATATTAAATCAAACACTAAAATCGCTTTTTAAAAAAGAGGAAGCTGGGGGTCTCAGATATGGAAACACACTAGACTAATTCCTAAGCACTTTCTAAACCCAGAAAGCATAACTGATACTTCAGAAGACCAATATAGCTTTTAGATTAATGCTTCACTGGAGTTCGGCTAACAGAAACACAGACATCTGACTAAAAGCCCCAAGGACAATCCACAGGCATTTTTTTACCAACATGAGGGGCAAGCAAAGTTTTAGGAGCACGATTTACAGAACCTGAGGCTCCAGACAGACCTGTTTTACCACATATATCCTTGATAGTCTAGGTTTAAAAGTCGGGGGGAAAAAAAGCCATTTACTAGACTAACTTTCGCTGTACAAATCCCCATTTCTCACCCTCTGAAGGTGTGAGGGTAGAGAAGACACAGTTTAGAAACCACACAACCCTTTGAAGCCTAAGTTTATGGAATTTGGACTTAACAGCCATGCTACCTAACAGGCACATCTACTAGCCCAAAGACAATGCAGCAACTTCAGAGAGAGCCCAGACATGCATAAGTCTAAAAGCAGATACTGCAGGTAACTTAAAACAGCATCAGGAGGCCTTAATATAGTAAAGTCCCTAAGTTGATCTGTATCAGCAATGATGTACTAGTGCAAAGGCCAGACTGTGCAGCATAATGCAGCTCTTCGGCTTTAATAAACACTTTTTTCTAGTTTACTCCTGACAAAGTTCTAAGCAACCAACTCCATGCCATGGAGAACTGCTATGAGGCCAAGTGGCTATGTATATGAGAGTGCATATCATTAGAAATAATGACATTTGGTGTGAAAAACTGAAAGCTGGAAAAGACATTTTCATCATCAAATCAGTGATCATCAATTCCACAAAGATACAGATACAAACTAAACCTTTTGGGAAGTTCAGGAAGAAAAGGAGACTCCAACAAACAAAATCTAGACAATTAGAAAGCCTAAATTTAGTAAACACATCTATCAATTACCGAGAACAACACAGAAAATATCAAGGAGAAAAATGCCATCTACAGAAATGAAGTGACATTCCAAGTCCAGAATATTACAGTTTATAGGTCAGCAAAGAGCTTATTTACATAGCAATGGCAAGTACTCCAGACAGTTCAAATAAGCAGAGACACAGGATGCTAATTCACCTTAAGGTTTACTGTACAAATTCCTTCTCATATTAGGTTAATGCACCATCAATTCCAGCTGCCTCAGTTTTTCCCCAACCTCTTCCTGGCAAGTAGCAGCACAACTCCTACCTTCCTATGACTTCCAATGAAAAAAAAATTCATCTTCTCTATAAAGAATATTTGGTGTGAAGGAAGATGCATTAAAAACTAGAAGACAAATTCAATTTCCATCATCTTTTCCACACCAAAAAATGCCATGAAGACCAAGAATATTATTCCAAATGATCTGTGGCTTGATGGCATTTTTAGTTAAAGACAACTTGGCTTAGAATTTTCTAGCCTCTTGGAAGATTTCCTTCCTCAACAAAATGTTCACTCCTAAAATTTGGGATAATCAAACATCCCTAAAAATAGGACTCCTGATTGATATTTTTTAAAGGCTTTTAGATATCTCCTGAAAATCCTGTGCCTAGAAGCTAAAGCTCCCAAAGGTGGACAATCTGAACATTAACAGTATCTGTGGGCTCAGCCTGCTCACCCTCATGACACCAGTACTGTTAAATTCACAAGCTCCAATCTCTGAAGTTGTATGGGCCGCAAAAATTGAGGCTGCAGGTGTTTCCCTTCATATACACAAATAAAAAACAAGTCTTGCATTATAATGTAATTTAAAATAAAATATCCTAAGAATTCCCAATCATAATTCTGTTGTTTTCAGTATCTTCTAGCTGCATGGCTTCTCCCAGAAGAATTCTCATATATAGTCTGGGCTTTTACAGAGGATGCTCTTAAACATTTTCCCAAAGCCAGACTTGAAAAAGACACACCCAATTCTGTAGGACAGAAGCTGGCCTTGCTCTCCAATCCTCCTTCCTCATCCCCATCTTTGAAAAAGGGTAAAGGTTAAAAAAGAAGTTTTTATGATGGCATCCAGAGTGAGGCCATTGGCTGCACTTGCCCCAACTATAATTTAGAAGGCTACCACTCAACTACAACATAAAGACCAGGGAAAATACATGTTAAATACATGCCTCTTCCTTCCTTTACATTCTAAAGGCCACACCGTGTTCTCTCTAGTAGACTGTTGGGAAGTGAGAATGGTGAGGGACAGGGTGTGAACATGGTTTTACACACACTTAAAAACACACATACCCACACTCACATACATACTTAAAGGTCTCAACACTTCAAGTGGCTGGAGCCTATCTCAGAACTCATGGCCAAAAGTCAAACACTCCATTCCCCTTGCACATCCCCCCAACCCTTGAATCCCACCCCCCAGAAGTCACTGCTATGTATCTTATACACACAGTAATATCCTTATTCCCTCCCCAATTATATATAAAAACTAAACAGATAACTTACTTTCTTTAAATTATTTTTTTTAAGTCTCTTAAAAGATTTTGATGTTTAAACACTTCCTCTCTTCTGATATATTAAACACCAAAAGGATCCACAAGTGTTTGATAAACAAACCTTCCATATTTCAGTCCTGGCAAGAAGAGGGAAGATACTAACTCTAATCAACCTAATTAGGAGGTGGAGAGGCCAAGAATAAAGTATTCTTAATCCTTCACAGCTTCAACACATTCTCACCTCTCTAATACCAGTAAAAACTATAATAAAATAGTTAAATTTCTGAGGCAGTAGATATAATAACCAAGCCCCTTTACCACCCTCCCACCTACACCTCAGTATTTATTCCCTAGTCCAAGAAGGGTGATGTATTTCATAAGGGAAGTAATTTTCTTAGTCCAGAATCAGTAGTTAAAAAAAAAAAGTATGTGTTTTCACATAAGTCTTTTCCTCTTCTTTTTCTTTTTTTACTTAGGAAGGGGTGGAAGTGGTGGAGGAGGTTCTGATGGTAGAGGTGGTAGCCGGGGTTTGTCTGTATTACCAGATCTGGAGGACATTCCACCAGCCCGTGGATTCAGATATTCTCCATAGGAATGAACAAATTCAAACGCAGGGGGTGGAGTGGGCTGAACACCCTGGGCACTGAGAAGGGAGTGAAGCATATTCACAGTATCTTGATAGTCTATCGTCTGGGCTGCATTGTGACCATTGGCTCCAGTGCGCCCTTTATCGAGTTTCATATAAGGAACTCGAGTTTTACAGCTGGGCTGTGAAAAAGAAAGGCCACTCATGTCTGAGCTATGCCCAGGCAACTGGGCCACTGTAGGAAGGGGAGGGAAGGAGAAATTTATGGAAGAGGATTTAGTACTCTTGGCAATCTTGGCTGGATGATCAAACACTGCCCCTCCAGTCTCTTCAGGGGGGCCCCTTTTACGAGTAGAACTGTTAGAGAAAGAACTAGACCAGCTATAGGTTTTGTGTGCTAAGGCGCTTGTCTGGCTACTATGTTTTGGATCACCTGGACGTTTGTTCCCAGTACCAATAGGAAGCTGTTGGTGAGAGTGATTGTTTGGGTGGTGATTGTGATGATGATGATGATTAGATGGATGAGTCTTGTGCTTTTCTTTGTGCTCTTGGCTCTTTGTGACACCGTCATCTATAGCACTGAGCTTGTCAGCTGCAGCATGGACTTTAATGCGCATTTTTATCTCCTCTGGTTTTGAAGAGGCAGCTTTATCTCCAACTGCCACTGGGATTCTCATTTTGAGAGCTGCTTTGTCAGCCTTTTCCAGAAAAGGCCGTTCAGGGTTTTCTGAGCCCTCTATGGGCATTTTCAGAATGACTGAAGAATGGCTATCATGGTGAGACAGGAGATTCTGGGCAGCATATGCATATTGTGACTTCACATTGGCTTCCATATTCTCCAATTGCCTCTTCTGGGCAGCCAACTCTTCCGCATGCTTTGCACGGTATTCTTTCAGTGACACTTTAGCTGACGGCACACTCTTACTATTCTGCTTCTGGGGAATAAACACATTTGAACTGTCCTGTTGCAAGGAATGATCAACAAGTGCTAAATTCTCACTAGTCTGATGAGCAGGTTCTAGTTTAAAAGGAGGTTGGGAAGGCAGCCAGCACTCAGTCGGCAACACTTCCACATTGCTTAAGTTGCTGGATGACTCTTCAGGAGTAGGAAGGGAAGGCACTGAACTTGTAGTAGAAGTACTTGACATGCTCATTAAACCTGCAATAGTTGTATCTGAAGAGCTCTGAGAAATCATGTTGAGGATTGTCTGCTCCGAAGTGTTTTCATCTGCTCCTCGGTCATCTGCTTTTGTTTTCTGGGGAGCCTGGCAGGCCTAGAATGAAGCAAATGACATCTGTTCACTCCAGGTAATTTATTAAATGGAAAAAACACTGAAATGAGGAGACTGCTGGCTGTGACCCTGGAATTTTTAGATAGTCTGTAAGCAGGCGTCTACTCTAACATGAGATTGATAATTACAGTCATCAGAAGAAGTAATATTTTACTCTTTAATCAAGAATCACAAACAAGATCTCAGAGAGATCTGCATTCCCTTGTTCACTGCAGCATTATTCACAACAGCAAAGATACAGATGCAACCCAAGTATCCACTGACAGATGAAAAGATAAAGAAAATGTATATACATCCAATGTAAAATTATTTAGCCTTAAAAAGGGAGGAAGAGGTATCAGTAGTTAAAAAAAAAAAGTATGTGTTTTCACATAAGTCTTTTCCTCTTCTTTTTCTTTTTTTACTTAGGAAGGGGTGGAAGTGGTGGAGGAGGTTCTGATGGTAGAGGTGGTAGCCGGGGTTTGTCTGTATTACCAGATCTGGAGGACATTCCACCAGCCCGTGGATTCAGATATTCTCCATAGGAATGAACAAATTCAAACGCAGGGGGTGGAGTGGGCTGAACACCCTGGGCACTGAGAAGGGAGTGAAGCATATTCACAGTATCTTGATAGTCTATCGTCTGGGCTGCATTGTGACCATTGGCTCCAGTGCGCCCTTTATCGAGTTTCATATAAGGAACTCGAGTTTTACAGCTGGGCTGTGAAAAAGAAAGGCCACTCATGTCTGAGCTATGCCCAGGCAACTGGGCCACTGTAGGAAGGGGAGGGAAGGAGAAATTTATGGAAGAGGATTTAGTACTCTTGGCAATCTTGGCTGGATGATCAAACACTGCCCCTCCAGTCTCTTCAGGGGGGCCCCTTTTACGAGTAGAACTGTTAGAGAAAGAACTAGACCAGCTATAGGTTTTGTGTGCTAAGGTGCTTGTCTGGCTACTATGTTTTGGATCACCTGGACGTTTGTTCCCAGTACCAATAGGAAGCTGTTGGTGAGAGTGATTGTTTGGGTGGTGATTGTGATGATGATGATGATTAGATGGATGAGTCTTGTGCTTTTCTTTGTGCTCTTGGCTCTTTGTGACACCGTCATCTATAGCACTGAGCTTGTCAGCTGCAGCATGGACTTTAATGCGCATTTTTATCTCCTCTGGTTTTGAAGAGGCAGCTTTATCTCCAACTGCCACTGGGATTCTCATTTTGAGAGCTGCTTTGTCAGCCTTTTCCAGAAAAGGCCGTTCAGGGTTTTCTGAGCCCTCTATGGGCATTTTCAGAATGACTGAAGAATGGCTATCATGGTGAGACAGGAGATTCTGGGCAGCATATGCATATTGTGACTTCACATTGGCTTCCATATTCTCCAATTGCCTCTTCTGGGCAGCCAACTCTTCCGCATGCTTTGCACGGTATTCTTTCAGTGACACTTTAGCTGACGGCACACTCTTACTATTCTGCTTCTGGGGAATAAACACATTTGAACTGTCCTGTTGCAAGGAATGATCAACAAGTGCTAAATTCTCACTAGTCTGATGAGCAGGTTCTAGTTTAAAAGGAGGTTGGGAAGGCAGCCAGCACTCAGTCGGCAACACTTCCACATTGCTTAAGTTGCTGGATGACTCTTCAGGAGTAGGAAGGGAAGGCACTGAACTTGTAGTAGAAGTACTTGACATGCTCATTAAACCTGCAATAGTTGTATCTGAAGAGCTCTGAGAAATCATGTTGAGGATTGTCTGCTCCGAAGTGTTTTCATCTGCTCCTCGGTCATCTGCTTTTGTTTTCTGGGGAGCCTGGCAGGCCTAGAATGAAGCAAATGACATCTGTTCACTCCAGGTAATTTATTAAATGGAAAAAACACTGAAATGAGGAGACTGCTGGCTGTGACCCTGGAATTTTTAGATAGTCTGTAAGCAGGCGTCTACTCTAACATGAGATTGATAATTACAGTCATCAGAAGAAGTAATATTTTACTCTTTAATCAAGAATCACAAACAAGATCTCAGAGAGATCTGCATTCCCTTGTTCACTGCAGCATTATTCACAACAGCAAAGATACAGATGCAACCCAAGTATCCACTGACAGATGAAAAGATAAAGAAAATGTATATACATCCAATGTAAAATTATTTAGCCTTAAAAAGGGAGGAAGAGGATTCTGGGAAGACGGCGGAGTAGTAAGTACATGGAATCCCTCTCCCCACCTAAACAACTTCACTGACAGAATCTCTCTGAGGTAACTATTCTGAAACTCTGGAGTCTGGTTGAAGGCCTGACACTTCCAGGGTAAGCTCTGGGCAGTAAATCAGGGTTAATTTCTGTCAATTTCACCTCAATAGTAACTACCCATCTCCTACCCGCAGTCATGTAGCAAGCAACTGTAAACCTGTTCCTAGAATGGCTTACATGTACCTTAGGGCAACCAGGGCCAACAAAAAAGACTCTACCCACCAAATATCAGGGCTCTGTGCTCTGATCCCTGATTGTTGCTTCTGACTACAGAGGTAGAGACAAAGAGGCAGGCATCCACTATTGCCCCATCTCTGCTTGTAGATGCAAGCCCCACCCCTTCTGGCTGAACTGACTTCCAGAGTTTAAAAGCCAGCATGCTTTCTTCCCCCACTTCTTTTCTTTGCTTTTTTCCCTTTTAAGAGCCAGACATTAAAGAGTAGGACATTCAAAAGCAACTGCATAAACAAGAAAAATTAGGAAGTGACCACACATATGCTAGGAAAGACTCAGAAAAGACCTTAAGCTTATACCTCAGGTTGTCCTCAGGATTACAACAATCAAGTGCTTCCCCCCAAATAACCAAAAACACTAACAAAAACAGCAAACCCTGGGGAAGGGAGAGATTCTGATTTCTAGAGTTACTGTATTTATAAATACCCAGTGTTCAATAAAAAAAATCCAAGGCACATAAAGAACAGGGAAGTATGGCCCATTCAAAGGTAAAAAAAATACTGAAACTAACCCTGAAAAAGACCTGATGGCAGATATACTACACAAAAACTTCAACATAACTCCCTTAAAGATACTCAAAAAACTAAAGGAAGATGTGAAGAGAGTCGAGAAAATGATCTATGAACAAAATGGAAATATCAATGAGGATGCAGAAAACCTAAAAAGAAGCCAAAAAGAATTTCTGGAGCTGAAAAGTACAGTAACTAAAATGAAAAAATTTACTGGAGATATTCAAAGGCAGATTTCAGCAGGCAGAAGGAAGCATCAGCCAACCTGAAGATAGGACAATGGAAAGTATCAAGTCTCAGGAACAGAACGAAAGAAGCTGCAGCAAATAAACAGAGTCTAAGGGACCAATGGGACACAGTCAAATGGACCAGCACATGCACCATGAGAAGGTTCCAGAAGGAGGAGCAAGCAAGAGAGAAAGAGAAAGAGAGAGAGAGAGAGAGAGAGAATATACAAAAAAATAATGGCTGAAGAATTCCCAAATTTGATGAAAGACACGAAGACAAACATTCAAGAAACTCAACGAACCCCAAGTAAGATAAACTCAGACACACACCAAGAAACATTATAATCAAACTTTCAAAAGCCAAAGAGAGAATCTTGAAATCATCAAGAGAGAAGTGAATCCTCATGTACAAGGTATCCTCAATAAAATCATGAGATTTCTCATCAGAAACTTTGGAGGTCAGAAGATAGTGGACCAAATATTCCAAGTGCTAAATGAAAAATACTGTCAAACCGGTATTAACACTGTCAACTAGAATCCTATATCTAACAAAAATGTCCACCAAAAATGAGGAAGAAATTAAGACATTTCCAGAAAAAAGCTGAGAGTTCATGACCACTAGACCAGGCTTAGAAGAATGCTAAGGGGTCCTGTGAAATGAAAGGAGATTTGCCGGTAATTTGAAGCTACATGGAGAAATAAAGATCTCAATAAAGGTAAACAAAGTAGTAGCTTAAAAAGCTACTACTACTATAACAATGGTTTGTAACTGCACTTTTTGTTTTCTACATGACTTAAAAGAGTAATACATTTTAGGGAAAAAAACAAAAGCTAGTATTACTATAGCTTTGGTTTGTAACTCAAATCCTATTTTCTGTATAACCTTAATGTATTTAAAAGGATTATTAGTTTATGTTTTGGGGCACATATTATGTAAAGATATAATTTTGTGACAGCAACAACCAAAAAGGGTGAGGACACAACTATAAAGGAATGAAGTTTTATAAGTTATTGAAATTAAACTGATATAAATTCAAATTATTATAACTTTAGGATGTTAAATGTAATCTCTATGGTGTTACAAAGAAATAGCTATAGAATATACACAAAAGGAAATAAGAGAATTTAAAATTTTCACTTAAAAAATTAGCTAAACACAAAAGAAGACAGTCATGCAGGAAATGAAGGACAAAAACCTAAAATATTTAGAAAACAAATAGCATTTTGACAGAAGTACTTCCTTATCTATAATTACTTTAACTGTAAAAGGATTAAACTCTCCAATGAAAACAGAGATTGTCAGAATGGATAAAAACATTACATGCCCTCTACAAGCAACTGAGGTCCTAAGACTCAGAGGTCAAAAGTGAAGGGGAAGAAAAACATGCACCATGCAAACAGTAACCAAAAGAGAGCAAGGGAGGCTGTACTGATTATCAGACAAAATATACTTTAAACCAAAAGCTTTCAAGGAACAAAGAACAACATTACATATTAATAAAAGACTCAAAAGAGCAATAAGATACAATTATAAATAAACACTTACACACCTAATGACAAACCATCAAAATATGGGAAGCAAAAACTAACAGAGTTGAAGGGAGAAACAGAAAGTTTTAGAAGAATAGCTGGACTCTTCAATATCCCACTCAAAACAATGGATAAAACAACCAGACAGAAGATAAGGAAATAGAGGACCTAAAAAATAAACTAACTAGATCTAACAGACATACACAGAACACTGTACCCAGCAACTTCAAGTTCACAGGGAACATTTTCATGTTATACAACAGACCACATGGATAGACCCGTTAAGTAAGCCACAAACTAAGACTCAATAAATATTTGAAAGACAAACATCATACAAATTATCTTTTCTGACCACAATGGGAAATGGTTAGAAATCCGTAACAACAGAAAAACTAGAAAAATACACAAAATTGTAGAAATTAAACACAATTTTAAACAGCCAATGGATCAAAGAAAAAATTAAAAAGACAATTAGAAAATACCTAGGAATAAATGGAAACAAAAACCCAACATATCAAAACCCATGGGACACAGTGAAAATGGTGCTAAGCAAGAAACTTAGAGCTATAAACGTTTTCATCAAAAAACAAGATCTCAAATTAACTAACTTTAGAACTTAAGGAACTGGAAAAAGAAAAACAAAGACCCAAAGCAATCAGAAGGAAGGAAATAATAAAGACTGCAGCAGCAATAAACAAAATAGAAAATTGAATAGAGAAAAACAATTAAACCAAAAGTCAGTTCTCTGAAAATATCAGTAAAATAAACCCTTGGCTAGATGGACTTAAGAAAAAAAGACAGAAGACTCAAACTAGGTAAATCAGATACAAAAAATGGGAGACACTGCTACCAAGTCTACTGTAACAAAGAATTTTAGGAATACTAATTATACACCAACTAATTGGATAATCTAGATGAAATGGATAAATTCCTAGAAACATAAAAGCTACCAAGACAAAATCTGAAGAAATACAAAATCTGAATAGACCTGCAACTAGTAAGGCAATTTCAATCAGAAACAAAAAATCTCCAACATGGAAAACACCTGGTTCTGACAGCTTCACTGGTGAATACTGTGAAACATTTAAAGAATATACCAATCCTTTTCAAACTCCCAAAAATTTAAAGAGGAGGGAATACTTCTCAACTCATTCTGAGGCCAGTATTACCCTGATACCAATGCCACACAAAATTACTACAAGAAAACTGGCCAATATCCATTATGACTATTGATGCAAAATTTCTCAATAAAGTAGCACCAAACTGAATTCAGTAGCATTTTAAATGTATTACAAGCCATGAACAAGTGGGAATTATTTCGGGAATGCAAGGATGACTCAACATATGAAAACTGATCCATGTAATATGCCAGACAAACACAACAAAACAAAAAACCACATGATCTTCTCAACTGATGCAGAAAAAGCATTTGACAAAATTCAACAGCCTTTCATGATGAAAACTCAACAAAGAAAGAAGGAAATACCTCAACATAATAAAAGCCATATCATGAAAAACCAAGAGCAAACTTCATACTCCATTGTGAAAGACCTGAAAGCTTTTCCTCTAAGATTTAGAATAAGGCAAGGTTGCCAACTTTCAACACAGTACTGGAAATTATCATCAAATCAAGTAGACAAGAAAAAGAAATAAAAGGTATCTAAACTGAAGGGATTAAAGATGGCGGTATGAGAGGAGAGACAGAGGCTTCCTCCTAAAACCGTATACAATTAGAAAATACAGTTGGTGCAACTAATCCTGAGAGTAACAGGAAAGAGGACAGCGCCAGACTGCACACACCTGGAGAAAAGAGCAGACCTCACAGAACAGGGTAACATATCAGTGCCATGGCCCAGCAGGACCCAAGCCCTTACCCCACCCCAGCTCACCAGCAGAGTAAGAGAAATGGAACAGGGAGGGAGTGCAAGGCCTGGGACTGCTGAATACCTAGCTCTGGAGATCTGCTCTGGGAGCATAAACCTATGTTTCATGGTGCTTTCATGATACTCGGGTGATTAAGGGGTTGGAAAGCTAATACAGGCAGAATTCCTGGAGACACTGGGATTCCAGCCG